TATCCCTTCTCAAAAGTGGACAAAACCACTTTGGTGAACAGTTTTTTCCCAAGGCAACAAAACCCTTTGGATGAGCTCTGAGAGGGACACAGCTCTGTGGGAATCGCCTCCCCTGGAGCTCAAATCAAGGGGATCTTACTAATATGCCGGAGACTGCCCTAGCTTTCCTACAAGTCAGGTAAACAAAGGAGCGCATTCATTCGTTCAGTGCACATTTCTTGAGTATCTGATCTGAAATGCACAGATGAGTGACACATGCGCACTCCCATAGCCTTTAGGGTAAGATGGTAAACAACTAAAACCTGTTACATAAACTGATCAGCAAGACAGATGTGCTATATCAAACAAGTGTCTGAATCTAAATGCAATTTTTCATGCTGTCACATGGTTGCCAGATTACTGAAACCATCATCCCTGCTACACAGTGTCCTATAGCAGGTCCCCAACTTGATCATCTTCATCATAACTGCATCAATCGGGCGCTTACTATATCAGGAAGTGAGGTAAGCATTTTACACAATAGATAGAGATAGGTATTATACCCACTTTGCAATGAGAAAGCTGAAATTCAGAGAGGTTAATAAATTCTATGCAAGATGAAGGGTCAATTGGTGGCAGAACCTCACCAACACACCTTGATAGCAAACTTTATTGATACTCAATAGTGTTTCATGGATTCACCTCAAAACCGACCCACTTGTGAAGGCCTGGAAGGTTGGCTATCACCTCTGAAGTTCAAAATAACAGTATCCCCTTATAGTAGGAAAACATGGTATGCAAAGGTTTTAGCTCTTCGGCCCTTTAAAGTATAGAGCCATCTTGCTGGCCTTGCCCAAATAAACAGGAGTGGCCTCAGCTTAAATGTGAAACATGAGCAAAACTTCCAAATAAACTTCTGCCCAATCCCACATAGCCCATATTGAGATTTGCAATGCTACACTCTTGTCGTGGGTCAAGAAACTGCAGTAACCACTCAGGTGACGATGACATGTAGCAATGCTAAGTCATTACAATCAACAAATGGAAAACTTTGTTAATCATTAGTAAATATGGCAGAAGCAACTTCAGTGGTTATTTTTCAACACTAATCCTTACTTTCTTTTAACTGTACTCACTGGAAAAGTACTGATATTGAAAAGTCATGCCTATTTCCTGAGACTGAAACCTTTAAACCACTTAGTCACATAATTTTTGAACATAGACCTTGCTATGTTCTAACGAAATATATCCTAAAAAAACTGAAAAGTGAAATTCAGGATTGTAGATAAGTAATAAGCCTAAAACACTGCACATTTATTAAGAGTTCCATGTAGACACCTGGTTATCTACATTCTCTGGACAATTCCTTAGTCCTTTCTGAAAAAGAGTGAAAACATTTCTTCTGCTCTGTCCCTTTTCCCTACCCACCCTCCACATCCCCATCACTGAAGCTAGAAAAGTAACAGGTTAGGATCTTACTTCGCTTGGTAATCAGTTATCACTCAGATCCCTTTCAAAATCTTAACTTCAGGGTTGGACCTGTCTTCCACTTGGGTTTATCCTGATTATTAATTAACTTCTACTTAGAAAGTACTAGAATAAGAAACAGTTTCAAAGTCTTAACTTTGGTATTTGAATTTTATAATCATTTGGAATCATTTTTCTCCCATTCAAATTTATTTCAGTTGCAAATTGTCAATACTTGTGTTTATATCTCTGGTTTCAGAGCTGTTTATTTCTAAAACCTAGAGGAACCCCCCAAATGGAAATAGAGTCGACACAGCTAATCTCTGGCTTGAGTTACTGGATAAATTTAACAACAAAAGTAGGACTTCTAATCTTGCCAATTCTGCTAACTAAGCTTTCTTTACATAACACTATTAAGTGACTTTAAAAAAAAAAAAAAGCTCCTTTGTAGAAAGATTATGTATCTTAATATTTTGTGAAAATTTCAATTTTACTTTAATAAACATTATGCAAATTAATTCTATTTCCAGATCAAAATATTTAACATCTCCAATTTTAGGAATAGGAAAATAAGATGATGTCAGGAAATCCAACGTAAAGAAGTCAATTTTGCCAAGTAAGGTACACCTGTGACTGCAAAAAAATGAAACCTAGAAAAATGTAAAAGCAAGGAACCCTTAGTTTATTACTCTTAACTGCTTAAGCAGAACTCGGAATGAACTGATGTCCAAAATAAACACGTCTATGACTGTAGCAAAAGAAAAAGGATGCAGAGCAAATCAAAATAGTCTTCAATGGTAAAATAATGGGCCCAAATATAATGTTAGCTAACTGAGAAAACAACTAGCCACAAGCAACTTCCAGAGTGACATAAGAATAAAGGTATGTTCACTGTCTTGTTAAAAATGTTTAATGCCATAGTAATAAATGACTTCCGCTCCTCTAATAGAACAAAATCATGGCTCCGTTAATCCCAGGACTTAGGTACAAGGAGAAGAGACACACTTGAAACTCTTCGTCCCCACCCCCAACAGAAGCACCTCACACAGCAGCCAGGGACAAGCAAACCAGTTTCTAAAGAAAAAAACCTCCCAGTGGAAGATAGTCATCAAACTACACACACACATAAAGATACACTATGATTAGTTACATTTCTAAAAGCTACTTCAGATTAAAGATAAGAAAAAAAGGAGACCGTGTAATTCAAACATTTTAAGAAACTGGAAAGCCTCAAAGTAAACGGACATCTAGTAAAAAAGAATCCAGGGTAACCCTCTGCTAGTAAAATTTTTACTCCTACTTCTGCTAAAATTCCACAAAGTACAAACTGTGTACCTGCTTTTACTGAATTCAGTAACTGTCTACTAAATATTTCTGGTACCAGCTAATGTTGACACTTTTCTCTGTCATCTGTCATGCTCTTCTAGGTATGAAAGCATCAAGCTCTAAGGAGGCTGTTGTGAGTGCTCGTAACAAAAACAGTTTCCAGTGGTTGAACTTTAGAATGGGAAGATGTTTGAGTACAACCTTTACATTTTCCTCATTTTCCAGGGGCTTCTAAAGCAAAGATTGAACTACTTAAAACATGGCCTAATGTTCACCACACGGAAAAGAAGTTCAGTGTGACTTTCTTATTGACAATCTTATTGCACTCATACTGACAGAACTGAACAGAAACTTTCATTTCCATAGCATAAATGTTTCAGTCTTCCAGTCCAACATCATTCCCATAACAGGAACAAAAGCACCAAGAGATGTCAGCAAACTGAAGAAATGAGAAGCAGCAACCACTTTACTCTCTCAGGCTAGAGTCGCATTTCAGACATTAACTTAAAATTTGGAATACACTGAGAGAAAGGAGGGCAGACGGGAAGGGGCAGCAGAAGGTTAAAAACTGAGGTTGTTTGGAATTCCAATAAAGAGGTTGTTCTGTAGCTGTCTGAGAACTTGGCTTTGCAAACTACTTTCTCGGGCCAGAGAAAAACTCCTCCTTAAATTGTTGGAACTTGACCAGAATATCAATCACAGCAGTCCCTGGGACTAATTTGGTAAGGCGGGACTGCATGCACAGTAGCCTGCATAGACATAATATATCATGGTTCAAGCAAATGTCTTGCCAAACTTTAACAGTGGAAAGCTGCTTTTTATTTTGCTATATTCTTTTTTTTTTTTTTTTAAGATTTTATTTACTTATTTGAGAGAGAGAGAGCAAGCGAGAGAGAGCACGAGCGACAGGGAGGGGAAGAAGGAGAGGAAGAGGCAGACTCCTGGCTGAGTAGGGAGCCCGATGCGGGGACTCGATCCCAGGACCCCAGGATCATGACCTGAGCCGAAAGCAGCCGATTAACTGGCTGAGCCACCCAGGAGCCCTATTTTGCTATATTCGTGAGTTAAATGCATTCACCCAAAATCTAGTAAGAAAAACCTCTCCAAGATTATTACTGGTTATTTCAACTTTGAAAGACCAGTGGGGCCATCGAGAAGAAAAACAGGAGAGGGAGAGGTACCATTTATACACAGTAAAATTCACTTTTTGGTGTCCACTTGTACGAGTTGTGACAAACGCATACCGCTGCGTAATCAACCACCACAATCAAGCTGTGGGCAGGTTCATCGCTAAACGGTTAACTCTTCGGAGGGTTTGAAAAGCAAAAGTAACCTGTCAGCATACTTCAAAAGCAGGTCTGCTTCTGAAACAGCTCCTTCATTTGGAAAAGCAAAGCAATACCCTGCAAGTGATCCCACACGTGTCGACACGCGGCGGGGGCGAGGCCGCGCAGCGAGTGGCGCCCGCTACCCGGCGGCTACCGTCCCCCGAGGACAAGCGGGGCAAAGGCGGAGTTGCAGCGCCCGGCCGGAGCGGCGAGGAGGACGAGTTGAAGGCCAGAACGACAAACTCCAAAGCACCGAATTCTTCTCCCTAGTAGGGCGCCGAGCGTGTGGACCACGGCCAGGGCGCGTGGGAAGAAAGATGACCTATTTTCAACGCCTGCTTTTATAACTGGAAAGTGAGGGCGAGAAGCAGGGACCCGTCCCCGAGCGCCCCGGCGCGCACCTGAGGTTTGGGGAGCGGAACACAGAAGCCACACAGCCTTCGCCCGGGCGACGGCGGGCAAGCAAGGGAGGAAGGAAGGAAGGGAGCGCGAGCGCGAGCGCGGGCCGGCCGCACGCCCAGCCCAGCCGCCCGGCGCAAGCCAGAGCGGCCCGGGCCCCACCCGGCGGGCGCCCAGCGGCCGGCGCTCCCTGCACCTGCCGCCGCCTCCGGGCCGAGCGCCCCGAGGGGCCGCGGGGCCGGGGCCAGCGCGCCCCCCCGCCCCGGCCGAGCCGGGGGCCAGAGGCCGAGCGGCGCCCCTAACCCGCCGGGCCCCCACACGCAGCCCTCCCGCCCGGCCCCCGGGGCGCAAACCGCCCCCCGCTCCTCGGGCCCGGGTCGGCCGGCGGGGCGCGCGCAAGACCCAGGCCGAGCGAGGGGCGCCGGCCGGGGCGGGGGGCGGCCTCGCCGCGCGAGTCTGCCTGCGGGCCGCGCGCGCCGAGGGGCCGCCGCCGGCACTCACCTGCCCGGTTGCCCCCTTCGCGCAGCGGCGGCGGCGCCACACTCGGGCCCGGACCCACCGTCCGCCTCAACCAAGCCCCAGGCGGCGGCGGCGGCCGGACGGGAGGGGCGGGACGGCGGCCTGAGACGGCCCCGCCGCCGCAGCCCAACCCGGCTCCGCCCGCCCCCGGGCCCCGCCCCCGGGCCGCCGCCGCCGCCGCCCATTGGCCCGCGGCTCCGACGCATGGGGCCGTCTGTCAGCCAATCAGAAGAAAATAGAGCTCTCCAAAGAGGAAAGTGTCGCCCGTCTTCTCCCCGGCCCCGCCCTGCGGGTCAGTGGTCGCCGCGGGCCGGAGGAGGAGCCAGCCAGGGGTCCATCCCGTCAGTCCCGCCCCCCGGGGCGAGAGGGAATTCGGGAGCAACCGAACGTGCTAACGGAACTTAGACGAAGGAGGCGGGGCCTGAGTCGCCCGTACTCCAATCAGCGCCTGGCGTGGGTACAGCCCAGCCAATTGTGGCCCCGAAGCTGGCGGGGGCCGAGACCGCGCTGGCCCGCAGGCCCAATGGCTGGGGAGGAAGCCGAGCCGAACCGTTGGGGGGGGCGGGGCGGGGCTGCGCCCGGTCGCTTGTTTCCCGTCGCGGTCGCAGCGCGATGACGTAGTTTCCCCGACATTCCGTGTCCAAAATGGCCACAGTCGGCGAGGAGAGACGTCGCTAAGGGGCTTGCCTGAGGCGAGGGGTGAGTGACCGACGGATCGCGCACAGCGCCGCTCATCCCCGCTTACTTGGAGGTCGGAGTAGGGTACGACCTCTTTCCTCCGCTTACTGGCGGAGTCTCTCTTCCCGGATTCCGCCTCGCTCCGCTATCCCCCGTGCAAATCGAAGTTAGTGGGCGACAGCGGGGCTGCGGGACGGGCTTCGGGAGAGGGTCTGAGGAACAGGCGCGAGGCAGGGAGGTCGGCGCGGACCCTAAAAACAGGCAGCGACCCTCGGAGTGAGGGGCGGCTAGGGTTCGGGGACTTTCTAGCAGGTGGGGAGAAGGGGCGGGGGTCTTGTCACACGCGCGCGCGCACACTCTGGGCCGCCCAACCGCAGACTACCCACCTCTTCCCGGTTATTTCGCAGCGTGCCGGTCCCTGTCGTGGTTAGGCCTGGGACTTCGGGAATTATTCCACATTTGGGGCACTCCGACTTGGGAGTCTGAAGAGCCGTGTAACAGGGTGGGACTGGGAATGAGAAAAAAGCACTTCCGCGATTAGATTCGTTCTCTCCGAGGCGTGGTCCTTAACCGATCCTCTCCTGGGTTTGGTTTGTTACTAAAGGACTTGTTCTTTAGCAAGTTGAGGCGTTAAGTCTGGAGCTTATCTAGAAGCTCTTAGCCTGTTACCAGCACAAAGTACGGTCGGTAAAGCTCCCTCAATTTGGATTGCAGTTAAGCCGTGCTTTCGCCAAATCATCCGACGTTAGGCACGACTTCTGAGAGCAATCACTTGAGAGTGGTGGTCTTCTGTGTTTTTAAGGTAAACTTGATAATGCTTATGTGTCTCGCTCTAAATCTCTCTCTAGAGATATTTAGCGTAGTGCCTTTCAATTGTAGGCGCTCTTTAAAGGTTTGTATGCATGATGTTGCTAGAATGAAAACTCTGAGGAGCTTTGTATCCTCAGCACCTAGAACACTGCTGAGGTATAGTAAGCTTTCTAGATTGCTGAATGATGGTAGAAGCGGTGGTATTGGTCGACCTTTTGGTTAAGATTGTTAGTGTCCTTAGGATCTTGCCTGTTAAATAATCTTGACTATAAATATAAGAGTTATCCAGGATTATTTTATTTTCTTTTCTTCAGAGTGACAACTATTGATAATCTGATTTTAAGGGGGGATTTGTCTCATTTTGATTATATTGTGATGCGTTATTCAAACAGATTGATTTTTTTTAGTTGATTCTTGCATGAAACATATTTAACATTTGTTTCATTTGAAAATGTAGTTTGCACCAACAAGCAATAAAGAAACATTCTAGTTGCTAATGAAGTCCATAAATGCCACTTCTGAAATTGAATGTCATAAAGAAAAAACTGGTCTTAGTTTTGGCTTACGAAATGAACTACTTTACTTCAGGAGATTATGTTCAAAAGCATGGAGTTCGCTGAGGAAGAAGAATGTTTTGTTTGCTTTGTTTGTGCTCGCTTCGGCAGCACATATACTAAAATTGTTTGCTTTGTTTGTAAAAACTGGGTAAGGACAAACAACCAAAAGGAATTAAGTTCAAGGTAATTGAGATTACAAAGAATATTAAACCGGGTTAAATTGAGTTCATATTTTTAGGGTCAGATAAATGATATACCAGAGTACTTGCAGGTAAAATTGTTGTTTATAGGTTTTGAGAAATCCAAAAAGCACAGTTAATGATAGAAGACTGGAGTCTGGTAAATGTCTGTGTTTGCAGAGAGCAGTTAGATGGGTGACTCTTGGTTGCTAGAAATTGTTAATAATCTATTTTAGAATCTTGTTGGGAGGGCAAAAAGAGAGTTTGTAAATACTTGGGAGAGGAGAGCTGATTCCTTCAAACTGGCAGAGTTTCAACTAAAAAAAGCCAGGTGACATACATGTAATTACTTTCCTTAGAAGTTTACTATACCCTGGTGATGAATGAGGGATTGTTAGACATGGATCCATTCAGGTTTCCTTAGGATGCTGAACGTAATCTCTCTTCCTATCCTAGTAGACACAAGAGATAAATGTACATTGGGTAAGGTCTGTTTGGATGGATTTATATCCAGTCCAATTACCCAAACCAAAATGTTGATTAATGGGTTGATGTCAGCCTGAAGAGAGGTCTTTAGAGATGAGCTACAGGGCTCTGGTCTTGCCCTTACTCTGGTTAGCACTTTCTTATTACCAACTTTAAATATACGAGGCATGCTTCTCAGATTAATCAATGCACTCAAAAGCCGTACTATAAAGAATTGTTAAAGGTTGAAACAATAGGCCAAAACTAACAAGATGTACATTTGCCAGGTTGAATTTACAAAAACTCAATTACGTGTATTTGAGATAAGCAAGACCTGACTTGAAAAAGGATTCTAGAAAGTAATGTTCCATATAAGGAAGTGAAGTATAGAATTTTCCCCAGATTGAGGGAAAGCAATATCTTCGTCTAATGACAAATTGTGGCTCTGCCATTTACAACCTTTGTGAATTAAGCAAGTTGTTTCATGTCTCTTCAGTTCTATTTTCTCCGCGATAAATTGTGAGGATAGGAAAATATAGCTGGCAGGCATACTGTGTCTCAGTGGGCACACAATGGACATGGTGTTGAATATTAGGAATCTCCCTTCCCCATTTGCTATGAAGATCATATAAAAAGTGCTGTTTTCCATTTTGGTTGCTAACGTTTAGGGGTTATCTTGAAACACTAAAAACCATGTTGAGAAAATAGAGATGTTTGTTTACCCTGGAGAAGAGAAGGGAATGGAAAAATTCTCTTCACGTATTCGAAAGGCAATCAGATAAGGGAAGGTTATTTTCAAGGGTTAGAGAGCAAGGTAGGAGCGTCAGAGTGTTGCTGAAAGGTAGAAAAATCAATGTAAGATTAATATAAGAATTAAGGTGAATACTAGTTCTTGATACTCAGCAGTGCCATAGGCTGTCTGGTAAACGATTAACGTCCCATTAATGAAAGTGGCCAGATGAAGGTTAGTGAGTGACCGAATGTTACTGTTAATTAGAATTTCCGTGTTAGGTGAGAAAATTGAGTAGTGACCTTTACTGTTGTTTCCAACTTGTAAGTGTCCATAATTCTAAATTTGAAAATGCATTTATTCTTTCATCATGTAAAATGACATATCCAAAGCACATACCTGAAACATGTTGCTAAAATCCTTTGACATGCTGCTTGTTTATTGAGAGATTTTTTTTTACTTTGTGGAGCTCATAAACGTCTCTGTCATTTTCACAGTAATCATGAGCTGCTAATGAGAAAACCTGTAATCTTAGGGTCTTGTGAAAAAACAAAGAGTAATAGGGAACAGGGTTATAGAACTGATGTAAGAACTTTTTCAGGGGGATGAATGATACAGAGGACTGTTTTTATTCTATTTGTGTACGTTTATTTTCACTTCCTCTCATGTATTGTTGATTTGGCCCCAGAGTCTAAAGGCACCTACGCTGGATCATTAGCATGGGGTTTGACCACTGACAGCAAGGCCAAACAGGCTTGAATCTGTCTGTGGCTTACCCACTGGGGGACTGGGATTGTCTTCCATTTGTGCTTCACCCTCACTGGGTCCGAACCCTTGTCCTCACTCTGCCCCTGTCGTCTCAGTGGGTGTCTTGGCACTCTACTTCCCAGTGGAATTTTAGGATTTATTTCCTCCCCCTTAAATGAGTTTTTCCCAATATCTTCCTCAAACTTTTCCTTCCCTCTGTCTCAGAGAAAGAGCTTCCTTCCTGAGGTTAACTTTTTTACCTATGCTTTTTATGATCCCTTGGCCAGTGAACCCCTCAGTGGCTTATTCAGCCTCTAGTGGCTCTTTCCCTTCTTGCTTCAGACATCCTTCCTTCTTTATGCTGAATAAACAAGAATAACCTGTTTCATAGCTTATTCATTCCTTGCCCCTTGTAGTCTTCTGCCCCACTGCACTTCTGCAAAGATTCTGCTATTTGTGCATGTGTGTGTGTCTGCTTTATTGAGATGGTTCACATACCATACAAATCACCTGTTTGAAATAGTGTGCAAGTCAGTGGCCTTCAGTACAGAGTTGTGCAGCCATTACTACAGTGGACTTTGACGGTCTCCAAGAACTAATCACCAATGTAACCTTTCCTTATTTCTTGTTTCTCTAGCATTTGTCACTGTTGCCTGCCACATCTGGGTTACGGTCAGTATCCCTTGGTTTCTCTTGCAATTGAAGTTGCAAATTTCCCACCTCTTTGACCATTCCTTCCCTTTCTTTCCTTTGGTGATTCTTCTGCTTTCTCAAGTTCTGTCCCAGACCCCATCCGTTTTCACTCTCCAGCCCTCTACCTGTGACCATGACTTTAATTGTCAGTTCTGTATAGATGAATCCCAAATAGATGTGTTCTTTCCAGATTTCAACAGTCCTGTTTATCTGATGCGTATTTCCATACAAATGTCTTACACGTTCTTCAAACCTAATATTTTTGGAACCAAAATTCTTCTC